GGTTAATCCCACTGAGAAAACTACTAAAACAAAAAGGTATTAAATACAAGTTAAGGACAGAAAAATCAGATACTCAAGTTGGAAACCATCCAGCCAACAGAGTTAAATACCAGCACTTGTACAGTGTTCCATGGGATTCTTTAAAGATTATTTCAGCATGTGAGCTGTGTTTCTCATCCACAACAAGGAATTTGCACTAAACAGACACTGATGTTGATTTGGCATTCAAACATCTGAATGAGTTCAACCCTGCTTTGCTTGGGTTAAAATAACAGAACCTGACCGTCCAGTAAAAGAAATACCGAAATGCATTCATTCCTCCACCAGAATCCCTCCTTTGGGAAGATAATTTTTAATTTTTATGGGTACCATTAACCTTTTTTGGAACACACTACTAGGAAAAAAATGCAAAACTGTCATCTAAAATTTGATGGGTTTTGGTGTAGCATAGTCCCATTGTAAAAGAGGAAAAAAAACCCAAGTCAGAGGAGCACTTACTCCCCCCTCCCTGCTCCTATTGAAGGTTGCTCATCTCCCTAGGCTTTGCACTGTCACAGATCTTCAGGCACTACAAACTTTCTGGCCCACACTCCCAAACCTCTGATTGTTTCTACCCATCAGGCTCTAAATGCCAACTTGGACTGCATCCAGAGCAGCGTGACCAGCAGGTCAAGGGAGGGGATTCTCCCCCTCTACTCTGCTCTCGTGAGACCCCACCTGGAGTGCTGTGTCCAGCTGTGGGGCTCCCAGTATCAGAAGGATATTGACTGGTTGGAGTGAGTCCAGAGGAGGCCATGGAGATGCTCAGAGGGCTGGAGCACCTCTCCTGTGGGGACAGGCTGAGTGAGTTGGGCTTGTTCAGCCTGGAGAAGAGAAGGCTCCGGGGAGACCTTATTGTGGCCTTTGAATACTTAAAGGAAACGTATAAAAAAGATGGGGACAGACTTTTTAATAGGGGCTGTTGCAATAGGACAGGGGGTAATGGTTTTAAACTAAAAGAGGGTAGATTTAGACTAGATGGAAGGGAGAAATTTTTTACAAGGGGGGTGGTGAAACACCACAGCAGGTTGCCCAGAGAGGTAACACACGCCCCATCCCTGGAAACATTCAAGGTCTTGTTGGACAGGGCTCTGAGCAACGTGATCTAGTTAGTGGAAGCTGCCCCTGCTCACTGCAGGGGGTGTTGAATTAGATGATCTTTAAGGTGCCTTCCAACCTAAACTATTCTATGATTCTAAATGTTTGCATCAACTTCCATCACAAACTCCCTGCAACCAAGGCAGTTTCCCACCCAAAGACTCAGCAGTACTGTAAGTGCCATCAGAGTTTTCTCTCCACCATCCTTTCTTGCCTGCAGATCCTGGGGAAATGCCTTCTGCCCTCAGGTCCTATCCCAGCCAGCCTCCATCACACAGGAAGGGCTCATTCCCCTCTGAGATGCTGTCCTTGTGCTGTCACGTTACCCCATGGCCCCTCCCTGGGGAAGCAAAATGAAAGCAATGAAGAGATGAGACCTTCTTGAGCCTTCTCTTTATATGTTAACTTCTCTTCCCCTCGTCCTCACCCCATCAGTCAATGCATTCCTCTTGTATTTTGATGGCATTTACATTTTTACTCACATCAGTACTGAACAAGTTTTTTTAAACACTAATTCTCAGCATCTAAAACAGTGTGTTCTGAACTCATCAAGCTACTGCAGTTTATATAATTTGATTGCCTCAAGTGAGTTATTTTAAAAGAAAAAGCTTCCAACATTTTGGATGATATACTGAGCTTTGAGTCTTCAAGCCTGGCACCTAATGTTCACAATGTTTATCTGAATATCAAGCCATACTTTAAAAGCTATATAATAGTAGTAGATGAAGCATCACAGGAAATTGTTTCTACCCTCATACTGTAGCTAACTTGCTCCATAATAATATGGTCCACAACCTACGGTTCATCTTAACAAATCCCATAAAAACCCTCTGATGTTCTCACGTCTCTATCAAGTGTGTGACTTAATGATCAATTCAGCAAAAGACATAATGGAATAGTTTAAAATCTGCAGTGGAGGTGGATAAATGCAGAAACCCATGAGGATATTAGATGTTTACCACCTTAAAATTCTAAGGGAATGCTGCATAACACAAGGTAATCTACACCACTTTTATTCACTACAAATGCCAAAAGTAGCAGCATTTTTACTTTCAAATGCTCAAAAAAATGTTTACCAGCAAGACAACTACAACAGAAGAGAGCAAAAGAGGGGCTTTCTCCATATACAGCTGCCCTAGTAAGCTCATTCACCCTGCAAGGGTCCCAGCATAAGGACAGCCCCGTACAACTGGAATGCAGAGGGCGGCTTCCTGTGTAACCATGTGTGACCGAGGGCCTCCAGGTTTACATCCTATCCTACAGGATTCAGACTTTTATGAAGGGATCCCATACAACTGCCTTTCTGCTAACAAAACAAATAAAAGTGCAACACAGATTACAGCAATAGTTCAAGCACTAACGCTTTAATATTCTCAACACTACTGCCTTCCCAAGACAGCATCTCTGTAACCTGTCACACTACCTTGTGTGGTACAAGCTTGTCAATACTTCACTGAAATGCCAGCTTCAAACCTACTCTGGCCTTTGTTGATCAGACTGGTGAGGTCCAAGTATCGAGGCTCCCTGGGGCTGGGGAGGGAGACGCCTAGTCCTATGTCCACAAAGCAACACTATACTGCTACCACACTCACTGTTTGTCCAGAGTTGGCTTTTCTGAATTTGCTCACTGCAGCTAGACCTAGACCTAAAAATGCAGAACAGAGGAGTCCTCTGCTCTCGGGTGCAACCACTCACTGCCAGGCTAGCACCTCTATTAATGTGCCTACAGTAAGGTCAAAGATGAAAAGCAGAATATACTGACAGATGATTGACAATGACTGGCGAATGAGCTAACTCCCCACAGGTAATCCAGTAACAGAAGAAACCTAAGTGTTTTGGTATAGGGAGCTTGTAGCCCTCGTTCTCAGATACGTACTTCGCAAAGTCCCAACAAAAAGGGTGCTGCTTGGCATACCCCTCACTCCTATATTACCCCCAACAATCCACGCTCACCTTGATTACGTGCTCGCTCTGCCCCTACTCCCATGTTCAGGTTTCCATCAGAAGGAAACCCAGACACTCAGTGCAAACAGGCATAACTCAGCCCATCTCCTACAAACAAGGCAGGACGCAGAGAGAGCTCACATGAGGCCTGGGTTTGCACCCCAGGGCATTCTTCCCCCAGAAGGAGGTCAGCTTAAAGTAACAAAATTCACTCTGCAAAACTATGCATCAGATTTTTGTTATTTTTCAAGACACTTCCAACAGTGTTCCCAGGCTGCAGAGAGTATTTGCTGTTCAAGACTATTTTGTTTTGTTTAAAGGAAACTTACTGGTTGCTAAAATTGAAATTCTTGTTTCTTCCCTCTCTACTAATAACCATCTAAACTTTCATAATTGTAACACATTAATCTAATTACTACAGACTTACTTTTAGGGAGGGGAGGGGGAAGGATTTTTTTCACCCATGAATTAAGAGGATTCTTAACAAGAACTAAAGTTCCTTGTGCAAATAAGAGCTTGGAAACTCAAGTCTCCTAGGATCAATCTTCCTTCACTTCTGGCTTAAGAGCTGCAAAAAACTGAAAGCATAATCCCTGACATTTCACTGTACTTGCAGGACTAAAATATTTGCCCTGTGGATATGCCAACTCCGCAATAAGTGGGTAGAAGCTAATCACCTGATAGGTTTCACCGTAATTTACAAATACCCAGAACATCTCACTAGTACATCCACATAGTGGTATAAATTGGTCTGGTTTGCAAATGGTTTCATCTACCTGTCTGTCAGCAGAGAGATGAAAAAGAATATTGATAGCATAACTGGGCAGTTATGTAAATTGGACAACTAAACTGATTCCAAATAATCTCTAAGTCTTTTCTCTCCCCACAATAAAATTTATTACTCCTCCTTTCAGTAAACAACCTTTGGCAGCCATACAATTTTTTGCAGCTGTCACTAGAAAAGTAGTCAAGGAAAAGGGAAGATAATAGATTTTGGAAATTGGAACTCATTCTGTGTAGATTTTTTTTCTGCCCAATTACTAACAGGTTTTGATGTTACTGTTTTGAAGCTACTTATTCATAAATCTGCTATTTGTTTCAAACACACTGGTTGTTATGTTGTAAATATTTCTCTATTTGATTTTTTATCATTTTGTTAGCATACAAAACCCACAAGATTTAACTTTTCACCACAGCAATGATTAAGAGTTTACAGACTCTCATAGAAAACCTGTCAATACAAACTAGATGTAAACAAGTTTTGAAGTGAGTGGCAGTGAGTTTTTTAACTAAGTTAGACATTTAAAGAAAATGGCTGCAAATACATAAAAAGTTATCAAAGCCTTTTATGAAAAAATGCTTTTATCCAAGAGCTAGACCGCATAATTAAGCAATTCCAATCTTAGTTATAAACTGATTTTAATTAAAGGTATTCTGACTCACTTTAACTATGTATTAACTGAAGTCAGACAACATATTAGTATCCATTTTCTAAAATATGTGTCACTTCTCCACAGTGGCTGATCAAACTTGCCAGTGAAAAATGTTTTGAGTAGGCAACTTGTAATACAGCTATGGTTTATTTCTGTCAGAGGCTGACTGCTGAAGTGTGAAAGAAACTCATTAAAAATCTCTCACTGTGATCCTGCATTGCAAGGAAAAAAAAAAGAAAGAAAATACTTAATGAAGGGTACACTTAGCCTGAAGACACATTCATATTCTGCTTTTCATTTTACACTGTTTCAGTAAGCAATTAAAAGACAGCAATTAGTCAGAGAAACGCTATTCATACTGGTCATACTGGGAGATTAAAGAAGTTAACACTTATTTTACATTAATATTATGAAAGTAATGAGGGAGATCAAGAATAATACAGCCAACTAAAAAGGAATGCTAAAATAAATAGAAAAATCCCTTACCTTAATCTTAAGACAAGATTCACTGCACATGGAACTTCACTATATTCATCACTAACAGCAGGCTGAGGCTATTAAAGAAAAAAGCAAAAAGTCTTATAATGGATGCCAAAGGAAAAAAATATCCCGAAATACTTGCCATGCTAACAGTTTGAAGTTAGCACAGAATATTTTACACATCCTCTAACTCTCAAAAACCTTTTAAACACTTACAGTAACACAGTCTAAAATATAGCTGATACCAGTAAAACAGCCATATTTCAATTACAGAGATACAAATGATAAGGCCTGCATAAAGCATTGAGTGTAAAATCTTTTAATCCACCTTGCATCAAAGCTCCAATGACCTATTAAATAATACACACACAGTGAGAATACCAAGCTACTACTCACATTATTTTTGTGTAACAGATTTGGTTGTTAAAGAAGTCTTGCATCTACCCATCTGCAAAGAGCTAGTAGCATATCAAAGCAGGATCACAGCTCAGAGAATGTCTTTCACAGAGAAAAATCAGGAATATTGATATCTTTCACACTATCACTCCTCCTTCACACTATGAGGCTCTCCCCAGCCCTCAAACCAACATTCATATGAAGTCTCAGGCAAAAGCATATCCTACTTAGAGAGTACCTCAGGGTCCTCTTCCCTACTACGATTTCATACCCAACTTGTGACCACTCACAGAAGCCTGTTCAAATGTTAGTCAAATTGTCTCAAAAATGAAGACTTGCACCACAAATGTCATTTGATGGTTTTCCAAGTTTTTCACTTTTAAGATGCTTTTTTTAAAAAAGTGTTACACAAGATCTGTATTTTATTATCTGTGTATTTTAGCAAATATTTTAGAAAATTTAATGAATATATGGAAAACTACTTAATCACTAAAAGGGGACTAGATTGTCTTCTACTTCCGTTAAGTTCCTTCCATTTGTAAACTACTACTGCTATTATTTCTGCATCTTCAACTGATCTGTTTTTTCACCATATGAGAATGTGCAGCCCAAAGACCAACAGGCAGACACCAACAGTGACAGGCTGCACTAGTCTCAGTTCCAAGTCAACATCTGACGCATTTAGGAAAACAAAAATCAACAGAAGACCTTCAAGCAAAGGCTTTTTTTTTAACTCCTCCATAAACTAAGTAACTCATAATTAAAGATTTACCTCTACAAATTGAGACACAAACTGCAGAACTATGAATTTCTAAGACATAAAAAGACTATGTGGTGAAAGGTTGGGTTTTTTTCTGTACTCAAATTACATAAGACATTTCAGATGCCGAAGTGCTATGTAAACTAGTTCTGCAACGGAAAGACTAGGGTCGTCACAGGAGCTAGCAGGACCAAACCTGGCAGGAAGCTGTTAGTCTTTCAGAAGATTGCTACGACACCAATGAAAATCAGAGAATCTGAAACTTGAGGTGAAGTGGCAAGGGTCACCCAACCCAAGGAATAGACATTTTTCAAAGAGCACTTTGGCTGTACGCCAGTAATACTATTAAGCAATTATTTATAGCAGTTATGCTTCCCACACTCTCAGCACAGGGCCATGAAATTCAATATGGTATTTTATTCCTCTGAATTAATCTACTATGCCACAGTACTGAACTATTTTACTGTATATGGGATGAAGCATTTTAATTACAAGCTACACATCGTGATACAAATCCTAAGAATGAAAAATTATTTGCAGATCTTCTGGCTACTCTGAACAGCCATCGTTACTCTGACAAATAGACAGCAGTTAGTGTGATCGAGTTACGAAGATTCATTAAAAATAGCCAAGTTACCTATCTTAACCAATTATCCTGGCCATGAACATACCATGACTTTAAATTTCCTACCCATTTTATCCAGTGTGTGCTCAAGTGAATTGCTACAGGCCCAACCGCATACAGCTCTATCCTCACAAGTACTTGCCATAGGAAGGTGCAGAACAACACTCCTGCCTCAATCCATGTTTTTAACAACAGAAGTGAAAAAGAAATTGTTTCACTCAAACACTTGGAAGAAAAAAAAAATAAGATAGAGACAATTTTTACCTCTGTGTTCTCCTCCTCTTTTACTCTTCGCGACTGGAAAACAAATGAAATGAGATGTGAGCTACGCAGCTTTTTACATTAAATACCCAGAGATACTAACCATTAACATTAAGACATTGAAGAGTGTAAATGTCTCGGCACTAACCAAAGTTACCTTTTCCTGAGAAACAGCAGCTTTGCCTTCCTCACTCTTCTCATCCATTTCATCGTCACTCCATTCCCAGTCTCCATCTTCTGTTTTATGGAGGTGACCACTGGAACCCGGTACTCGTCTGACCTACCAAAATATTGTGTTCACTATTACACAGACATCTTCAGTCTTCAGTGGTGTTCACGTTAACCAGCAACTCTTCTATTTTTATTCTACATGCTTTCTTTGGTTTGCTGGAGGAGTCACTGGCATACTGGAATATGGAATATCTGACCTCAGGGGTCATCCTTGAGCCAGCAGGAACAGCTAAGCTACGAAAAATTCATCTAGAGAAATGAGGTTTGGACGTATTTTACAACTGCTTAAGAACATGCTCAAGCAAATGACAACTGCTTACTATGAACTAAGCCTTGAAATGAAAGGAAGCTATTCATGGAAATATAAGTTACACAGAAAAGGTTGTTCTTGGGACACAAGTCTTCAAAACTTTAATTGTTCTCTTAAAAGCTTTAAAATGTGTAAAGGCATTAAGGATACTTTAAAAGTAAAATTATCCTTATTTAAAAAAAAAAAAAAGGCAGCTGTACGCAGACTGAGCGAATAGGCAGGCATGCACCACCCAAACTAATTGGGCAAACTCCTGTAGATCACATGCTAACGAGGCTTAATAGAAGTATCCAGCAGCTAAATCTGAAAATCAAATACTCTTCTGATGCCATCATATCTTTTTTTAGAGCCTGACAATAACGCTTGTTTTCCCTGGATCATGGAGCCTATTTGACCAAAACAATAGAACATCCAACAATTCTTCCCATACCCTGGTATGCATTTAAGAGAGCCATGAGATGGCCAGAAGCACAGCACAATAAGCAGTAGCCCCACTGCTGTTTAGAATCCGGTTCTCTATTTCACATTACTGAACCAAGATACAGTTCCCACTGCATAATTTCAAATGGTCGTACAGGTAAGCTCCCCAGCACTATACATTTGTAAAGCTTAAAGCACATACTTTTGAATGATAAAAAAGGAAACAAGTTATTCAGGGAAACAGCCTATACATTGCTGAGAGAATGAAAGGAACAAAGCATTAAGTATTCACAGCACAAAATGGAGAAGTAACTTGGTAGAAAAGCAGTTTCAGGCCGAGAACAACTGCTGGAAAAAGACATCTAATAAAAATAACTTTTTTAGAAAATTATTAACTAGCTGGCTTAGCTCAGAACTGTATATCCTGTTTGCCAGTATCCACAGGAACAACAGCCTGGTTCAACTTTGGTTTCACAGACTCCCGTCCATGCTGTTTTGATGCCTTGCACGGAAGTATACTGAGCACTGATTAACTTGGTTCTACCATCCTGATGGTTAGTGGTAGTGATGGAAACCCCTTCTGCCAGCACAGCCACCTCACAAAACAGGAAGATGTAAAAAAAATAAAGTGATATATATATATAAACATTTTAAAAATATAAAATCTGATTTCTGACTAGAAAAATGACTGGGGTTTCAGCATAACGAAACTTAGGTAAAGACTGGTAGTAACCTTGCTCTAAACCCCTCCAGTTGCTGCAGATCACAATGCGAGGTGAGATGCAGCATGTGACAGATTCCAGCTGCTTTTAAATCCCATCAGGCAGTAGTTCAGCAAAATATATGTGGCATGAAAAAGTATAGGAAATTAGAGTCTGAGCTCATGAGCTTCCAGAAAACTGTGTGATGCAGATATTAATACAATTTTTCCAAAGCAGCTTTTCATAAAGAGCTGAGCACTTAAGCTATTTCTCTGCTGGATTTGGACGGAGCACAGTTTGAAGCTAGTTGGCTTGACACCACAGGAGCAAGTATGAACTTTGGAGCCTTCTTTCAAAACCTTGTGTATACAGAAGCAGGTGTCTTGGTGTCTGTCTGCACTCTTTAACCCTCTTCTTTCACTCCCCAAACACCCAACTGGTCCTCTCCCTTCCCTTCTGCACATATAAGACTTAAATATAGGAAAGGGTGAATTTTCCACAACCTCAATACATTTCTGCACCTTCTTTATCCCTTATGATATTCCTCCCTTGCATCTCTTTCCTTCACAACCAAGTCAGAGCGCCCTACTACTAAGTTTCTCCGTATTTTGTATTCCTTTGTAACTGAGAAGAGGGGAAACCTGTGCAGGACACCAGGGGAATATTCTACTCCATCACTTGAGGGACAAATTCTGCACTATTTTCCCTGTTTCCCATACCAGGCTCCTAACGCACCAATTTTAGCTCTAGCTGCAAATCTGGGTACAAGAAGTTTGCGTGTGTTTGGGAGGGAGGACCAAGCAAAAGTCACCAGAAGCAGTAGCAGAGCAATTTCTTACTCAGCTACGCTCAGCCCAGGCACAACCAGTGGGCTCTTACCATCTACATCATCAGGGATTAGCACAGATACAAGGTAATCTAACAGGCAATTTGGCTGGTGCTCATGGATATAATTTATTATCCTTCAAGGAACAGTTCTGACATAAGCTTTTCTTTACCAGCACAAGCATTTTCCCAACAGTTATACACAAACCTGAGAGGACATCAACCACAACCAAAACCATGCTTTTCAAATAGAATAGAATAGAACAGTTTACATATTCACACACTACATCATGCACTAATCAAAATCTCTTCTGCATCCATTTTCAGTTGCTCTGAAGACTTATTCTAACTAGAATGATTTTAATGGAGCTTAATGATGCTGGCAGAGTGCTATGGCAGAAAGCTTTACTGATGAAGATGGAGTACATTTCAAGTTGTTAAAATAGATTGCCTTCTAATAAGCAATAAACAAATGGCTCAAGGAAAAGAAAGTAAGTTACTACAAAATAAAATACCATGTTAAATTAAATTATTTTCTTGAAAGGTGTCTGAAGGCAGAAAGAAAAAAGTTTTGACTTGTACTCTGCTTCAATCAGACTGATTACCACCAGAACACATATTCACAGAAAAGAAATCATAGTTTCATCTCTAGCAAAGTACCCAACTTATTCAACCTTCAAAATTGTGAAGTTGTTGTCGATAGCATTCTTTTTACTGGTAGGTGTGCTTAGCACTTGCATTACTTAACAATTTAACTTGCACAATTTTTGATTAACAGTGGCTTTGCTCATGCTCAGTTCTGGTTAGAGCCAGAAAGGCTCAGCCACACAGAGAGGGCATGTACCCCAGCTGCCGGACAGAGCAAGAGCGGTGCTTCATGTCTGCAAATAAATTCCCCTTTCGTTCATCAAAAACCTGCATAACCCTAACATCACATATTGGATGGAAATATATTAGCTTAAATTTCTGCTGTAATAGAAACTTACCCTAACAGACTTGATACTAGCACAGCACTGCTTCTCGCTAGATTTTTCTGGTGTCTTTTTCAAAGCACGTTAATTAAACTGTATGTTGGCACAAACACACGGGATTATTTTAGGAGACAGCTGACAATTTACCATATTCAACTCACACTAATAAAAAGCAAAAATATACCAGAAGAAGTAAAGGAATAAACCCTACATTACACAGCTAAAGTCTTTTAGGCTTTGAAATTGTCGCAGACAGGGAGCCCCTTTAAAAGGCCAAGACAACTGAGACAATCTACTGGTTTGCTACTGTGGTAAGAGGCAATCCCAAGATGTCGAGCGGGGCAGCACCAGAACCTGCCTGGGAGAGAATCTAGTCTTTTTATTCTTTTCTGAACAAGTTTTCTACAAGATGTGTAGGTTAAATCAGCCTGTCTTGAAGTCAAATAGCAAAGACTGTAAGCAAAGAGGCAGAAACAAAAGGGGCAGTGAACAGGAAGTTGGATCATCTTGTTTTGGCAGCAGCAATCCCTCAGGATCCTCAAAAATCACACTGAAACGTTTGCAATGCAGCATCATGACTGGAGTGCACAATCTGCCACACCAAGTCTCCTCATGCTTCCATTTGTGCTCCTACAGCTGTGCAGACAACCCAACTGAAAAATTAACATGGAACATAGTTAGCTTGCAGCCAAATCAGCTTTTCAATTTAGCTTCTCATGAACTAGCACAAGTGCTAGAACCTGCACAAGAGGAGGAGCTGGAATATCATTTTCAGACCAATAATCTGTGCTAAGAAAGCATTTTAAATTCCCAAAACCTGATACAGACATAAATATGAACAGGGAACAAATATATCCAGACACAATACACATTTGTTTCCATCCCCTTTCCATGGGCATGCTAGTTTAAGCTCTTTAAACCTGTCACACAATTTTTTGTCATTACTTCTTGTTTCATTCAGCCCAAGTACTAAGCTTTCAGTGTTAGGCACAGTATTTTTTCTTCCCTTCCTAAATGCAAATACTCTTGTGGTGGTTATGGCTGTGAGAGAGTTCATGCTCTTCCCAGTAACAGTCTGGGGCTCTGTTTTGGGTTTGTGCTGAAAACAGTGCTGATAACACAGGGATGTTTTCATTACTGCTGAGCAGGGCTTACACACAGTCAAGGCCTCTTCTGCTCCTCACCCCACCCCACCCGCGAGGAGGCTGCAGGTGCACAGCAGGGACAGCTGACCCCAGCTGGCCAAAGGGATATCCCACACCATATGGCATCAGCACATAAAGCTGGGGGAGGAAGGAGGAAGGTGAGGCTGTTTCTTTCGAGTTACGGTTTTTGTCTTCCCAAGTAATCATTATGCATGATGAAGCCCAGATCTCCTGGGGATGGCTGAAGACCTGCCTGCCAATGGGAAGTGGTGAAGGAATTCCTTGTTTTGAGTTCCTTGGGTGAATGACTTTTCCTTTCCTATTAAACTGTCTTTATCTCAACCCATGAGTTGAGATAAAAGTCACTTTCACTCTTCCAATTCTCTCACCCATGCTGCCGCAGGGGGAGTAAAGGCGCGGCTGTGTGATGCTTAATTACCAGCAGTAGTTAAACCAAAACAACTATAAACACATTGCTGGCTTTTCAGTATTAAAAAACCCTTTCCATAAGTACTTTAGCAGCTTTTTCATCATGAATTAATTTACACAATCAACATTACACGTGAACACACGTTTTCCTACAGGGGAAAAGAAAAAAAGTTGAACTTCCTGCTTCCAGTACCTTTTTTCACATGCTTTCTCATATAAATACCTCTTCTCTTCATGAAAGAAACGTG